GGCCGCGACGACGATCCTGAGGGAAATTACTCTCTTCCTTCTCCTCCGCGGCAGACGTGGGGCTATGTCACCGGTCCCCCCAAAGAACGTTTGAACATGCCTCATGCTGAGGCCGATAGGAGTCTTGGACCACCTAATGGAGTAGCCTTGGAATCTGTTTTGTCAGAGTCTTTTGATAGAGTCGTGTTATGTCATTTACGGTTTGGTCATTTACCTTTTTCTGCTTTGAGCCATTTGTTTCCCAATATGTTTAAGAGAATGTCTTCATCGAGTCTTCATTGCGAGTCATGTGAACTTGCAAAACATTGTAGACATTCTTATTCAGTAAGCAATAAAATATCTATTTCTCCTTTTCATATTGTGTGCTCTGATGTGTGGGGGCCATATCATTTGCTTACTATGGGGGGTTACAAGTATTTTATCCTCTTTATTAATGATTATTCTCATTATACTTGGATTTACCTCATGAAATCCCAAGATGAAGTACCAACCATTGTGCAAAAATTTCATGAACTTATTCTTACTCAGCTTAACACCCGGATCAAAATATTCCGCTCTGATAATGCTAAGGAATATTTTGAGAAGAACCTTTCATCATACTTTTATACCTATAGCGTTATTCATCAGAGTTCTTGTTCCCACACTCCACAACAAAATGGAGTGGCAGAAAGGAAGAACTGCCATGTCATTGAGGTTGCTAGATGCCTCCTGTTTGCATCACATGTTCCTATTAAATTTTGAGGGGATGTTGTTCTTACTGCCAAATATTTGATTAACCATATGCCTTCTCGGGTTTTGGGTTTCAAAACCCCATTTAGCCTTCTCTTTCCGGATGAGGATTTCTTTTCTCTTCCTCTCTGAGTTTTTGGGTGCACTTGCTATGTACATGTTCATATTCATCAGAGACAAATGTGAGCCTAAGGCACATAAGTGTGTCTTCTTAGGATATGCTTCCACACAAAAGGGATATTGTTGTTTTGATCCAGTTCATGGCACCCGTTTTATCTCTAGGGATGTCACATTTGCTAAGTCTACTCCTTTCTTTGGTGTTTCTCTTGAGGAGGAGCATTCTGAGGAGGCATTTGCTATGTCCCCAGCTGTTCCTCTTCTAGTTCCCTTTGAGTCTTCTATTTTTTTGATCAGTAACAAGAAACTTTATTAATGATGTGAAACTATGTGAAACTTTAATTACAACAAGAGGGGGGAGGTAAAATGTCTTAACTCCCCATCAACAGAGTACATTGGAGGAAAGTTAAAAATTAGCCCAAAATATAGATTCCCTATTCACCCTTTGCTTGGCTAACCCATCAGCAACTAAGTTAGCAGTCCTTTTCACCCAGCTATATTGCATTACCACATCCCTACTCAGCCATTTGAATTTTTTCCTCTCATTGTTATACCTCCACAAACCACTGTCTTCTTCTTTTAGTCTTTTATTGATCGATCTTCCTCTGTTGCCTCTCCTTCAACTAGGTCTACCTCTCATGTTCCTACTCCTCCAGCTCATCCTCCTAGTTTTCCCTCACATCCCATCATCCAAAGGTGGTACCAAAGACAAAGATTCATGCATGGGCAAGTTATTTCCACTCCTTCAACAGAGCCTCTGGTACCTCCCATCACTTTTGAGGTAACAGGTCAGCCTTCATCTAACCCTTCTGCTACCTTCCCAAACCTTGATCTTCCTATTGCCCTTCGCAAAGGCAAGTGGAAGTGTACAACACATTGTATCTCTAAACACCTGCCCTATAGCCTTCTATCCCCTACCTATTACTCTTTTCTTGCCTTTGTTTCTACCCATGTGATTCCCAGGTCTGTACCAGAAGCCCTGTCCAAACTTGAATGAAGGGATGCTATGATGATTGAACTAGATGCTTTGCATAAGAACCACACCTAGGATATTGTGGATTTGCCTGAAGGGAAGGAACCAATAGGTTGTAAATGGGTGTTCACTATTAAGTATCATTCCGATAGCACTGTTGAGAGATTTAAGGCTAGATTGGTTGCTAATGTCTACACTTAGATGTATGGTGTTGATTACCTTGAGACTTTTGCTCTTGTGGCTAAGATGACTTCAATTCGAGTTTTGTTGTCTCTAGCTACTAATTTTGAACATGAAAAGGTTTATATGTCTTTGCCTACGGGGATGTATGAAAAGAAAATGAAGGGAAGGTGTGTAAACTACAAAAATCCATTTATGGTCTCAAACAATCTCCTCGAGCCTGGTTTGAGAGATTCAGAGCTACCCTTGTCTCTTTTGGTTACGCACAAACTCAATTTGACCATACTTTGTTTATGAAAAGAAGTAACTGTTTGGCGACTATTCTAATTGTTTATGTTGATGACATTGTGGTTACAGATAATGACACCCAGGAAGTGGTTAAGCTCAAAAGATTTTTTAACTCTAAATTTGATATCAAGGATTTGGGGGATCTTAGATATTTCTTGGGAATTGAAGTTGCTAGATCTAAGGATGGTATCTTCATTTCTCAATGCAAGTATGTCTTGACCTCCTTGCCGAGACTGGTAAACTTGGTGCTAAACTGGCTTCCACCCCTATAGACCTCAATCATAAGCTCTTTGTTGCTGATGGTGAACTGTTGTCTGATAGGGGAGTGTTTCAGAGACTGCTAGGGAAGTTGTTATATCTCTACATGACTCGGCCAGATATTTCCTTTATGCATTCTCCCATAGATATACATTTAAGTAGCTACAGAAAGAGTTTTGTGTTACTTGAAAGGCACTCCAGGGAAAGGTATTCTATTTGCCAAGCATGGACACACGAAGCTGGAGGCATATACTAATGCTGACTAGACTGGATGTATTGATGATAGGAGATCCACCTCAGGATATTGTGCTTTGGTGACAGGGAACATTGTCTCATGGAGTAAGGAACAGTTTGTAGTAGCTAGATCCTCAACTAAAGCAGAGTATAGGGCAATGGCACATGGAGTGTCAGAATTAATGTGGCTGAGATCACTTTTGAAAGAGTTGGGTATTGACTATGAAAAGCCAATGATGCTCTACTGTGACAACCGGGCAACTATCAACATTGCACATAGTCCTGTTCAACATGACAGAACTAAGCACATAGAGGTTGATAGCCATTTTATACAGGAGAGAATTGCTTTAGGGGAAGTTTTCTTGCCATTTATCTCTTCAGAAGAGTAGTTGGCTGATGTTTTGACCAAAGGTGTTCCAAAAGGGAAGCTAACACACTATATAAGCAAGTTGGGCATGATTGACATCTATGCTTAGCTTGAGGGGGAGTGTAGAGAGACTAGGCTGAATGGGCCCTAGTATTTGTTTTTATGTTTAAGAAGTAGTATGTTATTTATTTTGTGTGTTAATGGGCCTGTTAACCTCTTTTATAAGTTCTTTTACGTTCTTGATTAGCTGCCACCCACTTAAGGGCAGACTTGTAATTAACCTAGTTAATGAAGATTAATAAAAGAATTAGTGAAGGGAGAGAGGAGATTGTCGAACTCTCTTCTTCTTCCTCTTCTTCTTCTCCATCTTCTTCTTCTATTCTGCTGTATTCCTCTTTCTCTCTCATTCCTTTCTACTTCAACCAAGTTCTTTATATCAGATTTAGAGGACATATTTACTTCTCAGACAAATAAAAACATAATTGGAAAATGGGTCCCCTTTGTGGGCCTCATATGTTGGCATCATTTGTAAGCCCACCAATATGTGAGCCCTAATGTGTGGGAAACACCTGTTCTAGAGTGAGCATAAAAATTTTTCCCAAAATCACTTAGAAACAAAGTAAAATCGTGGTTCCATAAGTATTATTTTACTTTTACCTGCTATACAAATAAAATAATGTTGAACCAAATAGCGTAAGAGCCAAAATGAAGGTAAAATTTGCATTCCCATCCATTTTAATTTGAAATAAATAGATCAGGAGGAAAGAAATCGGTTCAAGAAAAAGTAGCTAGTGGTTTATACTTGTTCAGGTTTGATGCCACAAGCTTCCCTAGTTGTCTTTTCCAAATAATCCCTGGCAATGTGCATCTTCTCATCAGTTATATAGCCAGCAATGGCAATGATCTCCATTCTGTCCAAGAGAGGATTGGGTATCATTTCTACTACATTTGCTGTGCAGACAAACAGAACCTACAAAGAAAATACCAGAAAAGGATGTGAAGGTTAGATACTTCATCTGTAAGCACATTTGACTAATTGTAATTATGTACAAAATGTTATACCATACTATAATAAATTATGGTGTACATGTTAAAGTCAATTTATCTAAAATCTGGCTGCAACTTGGGCGGGCTGCGGTTGACTATTTCCCAAAATTTGATTGGGCCCAGCCCATAGGCCCGAGCCCAATGCTGTGTAAATTCCTCAAGTCAGGTACTTGACTTGCATCCAGATCCAAAATGTGTACATGTTATATGAAACAAAATGATTCAAAAACCTACAATACACTTTTTTCAGTAAAAGCATACAATACAATTACACATGTAAATCAGGCTTATACTATAAATCCCAACCTAACAAAAAAAGTAATTCAGAATAGCATCCTTGCTCCACGCATCACTCCCACACACACAAGAAAAAAGAACTTGAAATTGAGTTTAAGTACTTTTAGTTACAACTTGGAAGATATACTAACTATTAGTTGGAAGTAAGAGAAACTTATGATGAAAGCAACGGAGAGTCAATTTGGTGATGCAATGACTAGCCTAGGCTATGTGGTGACTAGATGGTTCCTAGGGGCTAACTAATTGACCAAAAAGAAAGAAATGTTCGCAAGGTGCCAACCAGCTGGTTGGTAAGGTCTCCTACTGGTTGTAGCGAGACTTGGGATCGAATCCCACCTGCACCTGGATTGGGGG